CTAGTCCCTTCAGTAGCCGTCCCATAACTTCCTGACGCGGAAATCGCATAGGCGTCGCGCGCGAGACTCAGTATAAAACCGCGCAGACGCGGGGCTAACTCATATCGACTCGCAATGCAAGCATACGCAAGCAGTCGCAATGATGGCGTACTATGTAGTGCCCATAATCAAGTGGTCCCTCGTGGATCCGAGTACCGCTTATGACACTCAAGTATCAGACTCGAAGTGTCGTGGGGGACTAATCCTTCACGACATTGCACGACTGAAGGAATAGTCGTGCAGCCGCCGCGAGACCTCCGGCCTTTGGTCTGAGCGTCTCGGCAGGGAAGGCAGATAGGCTCTGCACGGGGGCAGATTCCTTCCCTGCAGAGTCTAAGGCTTGGGATGTCTTGGACAAGAACCTTGAATCCCGGCCCATGACCAATGTCTGACCATGAAAATCTCTAAGAAACAAAGGATAAAAGGAGATCTCCCTTTTCTTTCAAGCCATAATCTGGCTAACCCTTGCGCACGATCACTGTAAGCCGCGCGCATACCCAAGGCATATATGAGTATATATATACAAGGCTTATTTATATAGGACAATCACTTCTCATAGTCACAGTGGGGCTCATCTCAGCCATATATGTATGTAATCGCAGGCAGTCACATCCAAAAGCCGAGCCACAACCGTATCTGCAATCATATCAAAGATTCGTCCAGAAGTCCACGCACTACACGAGGTCGACTTCAACCATTCCTCGCACTCATACCCCGCGCTTTAGCCATACAAGCCTCACTCGTGCAACTCTTAAATAAATACTCAGTACTTTTGTTGGATGACCATTCAATAAAGTCCGGGTAAAAACACAAAAAAACAATTCAAATCTCAAGGTTAAAGCCTTTAGGTTGAGTGACAAGAGTGAATTGGAGTTGAATCATAAACTGACGAGTCGGCAACCGACCTGTTATCAGTGATAACAGAAGATGATCCTCAAGGGATCAAGCTGAATCTAGTCCTGATCTTGAGTCAGACACCCGAAAGGACCTGTAACACAAGGTAGGTCAAATGCCTAAGCTAAGTCATCAACATATGGGGGATAAACCTCCATAGCACATTCTCACTCAAAGCTACCTGCCAACTAAGTCCAAGCCTGCTTCTAAGCCAGTGCCCAAAGCAAAGGTAGACTAATGGCAGAATCTCCCCTATTCAGGACGGATCGCCAGAATCTCCACCTATCGAAATATAACCTAATCCCTCTAAATCAAGAAAATTTTAGCAGCGCTTCCCGTAGGAAAAGTGTCTTTTCAAAATTTGTATCAGCCTGAATATGAAACAAAAAAATAGCTTTTGACTTTCCAAAATCCAATTTTGTCTAACTCCCTGATTTAGCAAAAAATTGGGCAGCACTCCCTTTAGAAAAGGAGACTTTCCTGATTTTTACTCAGTCATGTATAAACTTTAGATTGGTTGAACTTTAACAAGTCAAAAATCTGACTAACTCTTTGGATTTGCAGAAATTTCGGCAGCGCTTCCCGTAG